TAGTCTAGTCTATAGTCTAGTCTATAGTCTAGTCTATAGTCTAGTCTATAGTCTAGTCTATAGTCTAGTCTATAGTCTAGTCTATAGTCTAGTCATAGTCTAGTCTATAGTCTAGTCTATAGTCTAGTCTATAGTCTAGTCTATAGTCTAGTCTATAGTCTAGTCTATAGTCTAGTCTATAGTCTAGTCTATAGTCTAGTCTATAGTCTAGTCTATAGTCTAGTCTATAGTCTAGTCTATAGTCTAGTCTATAGTCTAGTCTATAGTCTAGTCTATAGTCTAGTCTATAGTCTAGTCTATAGTCTAGTCTATAGTCTAGTCTATAGTCTAGTCTATAGTAGTCTATAGTCTAGTCTATAGTCTAGTCTATAGTCTAGTCTATAGTCTAGTCTATAGTCTAGTCTATAGTCTAGTCTATAGTCTAGTCTATAGTCTAGTCTATAGTCTAGTCTATAGTCTAGTCTATAGTCTAGTCTATAGTCTAGTCTATAGTCTAGTCTATAGTCTAGTCTATAGTCTAGTCTATAGTCTAGTCTATAGTCTAGTCTATAGTCTAGTCTATAGTCTAGTCTATAGTCTAGTCTATAGTCTAGTCTATAGTCTAGTCTATAGTCTAGTCTATAGTCTAGTCTATAGTCTAGTCTATAGTCTAGTCTATAGTCTAGTCTATAGTCTAGTCTATAGTCTAGTCTATAGTCTAGTCTATAGTCTAGTCTATAGTATAGTCTATAGTCTAGTCTATAGTCTAGTCTATAGTCTAGTCTATAGTCTAGTCTATAGTCTAGTCTATAGTCTAGTCTATAGTCTAGTCTATAGTCTAGTCTATAGTCTAGTCTATAGTCTAGTCTATAGTCTAGTCTATAGTCTAGTCTATAGTCTAGTCTATAGTCTAGTCTATAGTCTAGTCTATAGTCTAGTCTATAGTCTAGTCTAGTCTAGTCTATAGTCTAGTATATAGTCTAGTCATAGTCTAGTCTATAGTCTAGTCTATAGTCTAGTCTATAGTCTAGTCTATAGTCTAGTCTATAGTCTAGTCTATAGTCTAGTCTATAGTCTAGTCTATAGTCTAGTCTATAGTCTAGTCTATAGTCTAGTCTATAGTCTAGTCTATAGTCTAGTCTATAGTCTAGTCTATAGTCTAGTCTATAGTATAGTCTATAGTCTAGTCTATAGTCTAGTCTATAGTCTAGTCTATAGTCTAGTCTATAGTCTAGTCTATAGTCTAGTCTATAGTCTAGTCTATAGTCTAGTCTATAGTCTAGTCTATAGTCTAGTCTATAGTCTAGTCTATAGTCTAGTCTATAGTCTAGTCTATAGACTAGACTATAGACTAGACTATAGACTAGACTATAGACTAGACTGATAGACTATAGACTAGACTATAGACTAGACTATAGTCTAGACTATAGACTAGACTATAGACTAGACTATAGACTAGACTATAGTCGACTATAGACTATACTATAGACTAGACTATAGACTAGACTATAGACTAGACTATAGACTAGACTATAGACTAGACTATAGACTAGACTATAGACTAGACTATAGACCAGACTATAGACTAGACTATAGACTAGACTATAGACTAGACTATAGACTAGACTATAGACTAGACTATAGACTAGACTATAGACTAGACTATAGACTAGACTATAGACTAGACTATAGACTAGACTATAGACTAGACTATAGACTAGACTATAGACTAGACTATAGACTAGACTATAGACTAGACTATAGACTAGACTAGACTAGACTATAGACTAGACTATAGACTAGACTATAGACTAGACTATAGACTAGACTATAGACTAGACTATAGACTAGACTATAGACTAGACTATAGACTAGACTATAGACTAGACTATAGGCGAGACTATAGACTATACTATAGACTAGACTATAGACTAGACTATAGACTAGACTATAGACTAGACTATAGACTAGACTATAGACTAGACTATAGACTAGACTATAGACTAGACTATAGACTAGACTATAGACTAGACTATAGACTAGACTATAGACTAGACTATAGACTAGACTATACTAGACTATAGACTAGATAGACTATAGACCAGACTATAGACTAGACTATAGACTAGACTATATACTAGACTATAGACTAGACTATAGACTAGACTACAGACTAGACTATAGACTAGACAATAGACTAGACTATAGACTAGACTATAGACTAGACCATAGACTAGACCATAGACTAGACTATAGACTAGACTATGACTAGACTATAGACTAGACTATAGACTAGACTATAGACTAGACTATAGACTAGACTATAGACTAGACTATAGACTAGACTATAGACTAGACTATAGACTAGACTATAGACTAGACTATAGACTAGACTATAGACTAGACTATAGACTAGACTATAGACTAGACTATAGACTAGACTATAGACTAGACTATAGACTAGACTATAGACTAGACTATAGACTAGACTATAGACTAGACTATAGACTAGACTATAGACTAGACTATAGACTAGACTATGGACTAGACTATAGACTAGACTATAGACTAGACTATAGACTAGACTATAGACTAGACTATAGACTAGACTATAGACTAGACTATAGACTAGACTATAGACTAGACTAGACTAGACTATAGACTAGACTATAGACTAGACTATAGACTAGACTATAGACTAGACTATAGACTAGACTATAGACTAGACTATAGACTAGACTATAGACTAGACTATAGACTAGACTATAGACTAGACTATAGACTAGACTATAGACTAGACTATAGACTAGACTATAGACTAGACTATAGACTAGACTATAGACTAGACTATAGACTAGACTATAGACTAGACTATAGACTAGACTATAGACTAGACTATAGACTAGACTATAGACTAGACTATAGACTAGACTATAGACTAGACTATAGACTAGACTATAGACTAGACTATAGACTAGACTATAGACTAGACTATAGACTAGACTATAGACTAGACTATAGACTAGACTATAGACTAGACTATAGACTAGACTATAGACTAGACTATAGACTAGACTATAGACTAGACTATAGACTAGACTATAGACTAGACTATAGACTAGACTATAGACTAGACTATAGACTAGACTATAGACTAGACTATAGACTAGACTATAGACTAGACTATAGACTAGACTATAGACTAGACTATAGACTAGACTATAGACTAGACTATAGACTAGACTATAGACTAGACTATAGACTAGACTATAGACTAGACTATAGACTAGACTATAGACTAGACTAGACTAGACTATAGACTAGACTATAGACTAGACTATAGACTAGACTATAGATAGACTATAGACTAGACTATAGGAGACTATAGACTAGACTATAGACTAGACTATAGACTAGACTATAGACTAGACTATAGACTAGACTATAGACTAGACTATAGACTAGACTATAGACTAGACTATAGACTAGACTATAGACTAGACTATAGACTAGACTATAGACTAGACTATAGACTAGACAATTGACTTGACTATAGACTAGACTATAGAGTGTGTTGACACTTTTCTATAGAAAACTGTGTTCATAATTTCTTAAGAAAACTGTGTTCATACTTTTGTAAATAAAACTATGTTCACACGTTTCTAAAAAACTGTGTTCACACGTTTCTAAAGAAAACTGTGTTCATACTTTGTAAAAAAAAACTACTATGTTCACAAAACTGTGTTCACACTGTTCTAAAGGAAACTTTGTTCACTTTATTGTAAAGAATACTATGTTCACACTAGTCTAAAGAAAACTGTAGATTGCTATTACTTTATTCAAATTTTCTCTCAAAATAATGGGTGACTCTAAAACATTTTCTTCATTATTGTAATTAATATTAATGTTTTAAACATTTGTTTCAAATATATAGAGCCATTTACACATTTCTTTTTTTTTTCTGTGTAAAAGCAGGTAAATAAATTGTAGAAAATTATTTTTTTAAATAGATGAAAATAAATTTATTTAACACTTAACCTAGGAATGAAAAAGAAAATTAAACTAAAAATGAAATGAAAACATTAGAAGTGTTAGATACACACAAACACATAAATTTAACTAATCGTTAGTTTAACCTTGTCATTAAAAAAGGAAGTAGAACAAAAAAAGAAATAAATGAAAGTAGAACAATTTTTGGGGTAAAATGAAGGACGTACGACGTCGTCTCATAGGGAAACAGAGCAAAAATAAGAATTGTTTATCTAAACACAATTCCTTTGGCAAGATTGTTCGTGTTCAAGGAAGCCATTACTATTTGTTAAACTAAGTGAAGTTTGTATATTTTGAAATGGTAATTGATAATGCTGCCTGCCTGGCTACTGCTGCAGTGGTGGTTAAGGTATAAATGATTTATTGTAGAGGTTTTTACCTTTAAACGGTAGTAGAGAAAACTTTATTACAAAATTAGATCTAAAGAGGGAGGGGGCGAGGATGGGGTAGTTGTTATAAAGAACTTAAAATAGCAGGTGCTATTAACAGCCTTTTAAAGCACAAGAAGAAAGCCATAAACAATATTGTTGTAATTAAATTAGTTAAGAGAATTAATTATTACAACACTGCGTATGAGTGTTGTAACAGCAGCTGAAATAAATAAATATTAAGTATACGTCTCTCTCTCTCTTGCTCAAGTGTTTTTTTTTTTATTTAAACTAAGTTTAATTTATTTTTTGTTTTAAAGTAAAATTTTCCATATTAATTTCTTGTCATTTATATATATTTGTTTTTTTCTTTATTTTTATGTTTTCCCTTATTTGTCGAACTAATTGTTATTGCATGCCTAATTTAATATATCAAAAAATCAAAAAAAAACGTAAACCGATTCCTTTTGAAAACAAATGGTTCCAACACAACGTACTCCGCTACTTACTCTACTCTCTCTATATCAAAAAAAACTCTCTATCTCTTGTGCATGTGTGTTAATGTTTTAAAAAAATAAAAACTTTTGAAAATCTGCCTGGCAGTTGGCTTAATCTCAAATCCAACAAATTTTTTTAAAGAACAACCATTATTGGGACCCAGCGCTGCATTCCCACCATTTGCTGCTGCAGAATTTCATCCCACCACACCGGAAAATTGGAAAGGCGCCAACATCCATCCAACTGGTCTAATGAAAGAGCCAACTGTTGTACCCGGTCGCAATGCGGCTGTAGCAGCATTTACCGCACAAGGACAGACACAGGTAAGTGAAGACCTCTACCATCCTTCTGAAGAAATAACTGTTCTCTAGGAAAGTGTGAACACATTAGTCTAGTCTATAGTCTAGTCTAGTATATAGGCTAGTCTATAGTCTATTTTATAGTCTAGTCTATAGTCTAGTCCATAGTGTAGTCTATAGTCTAGTCTAAAGTCTAGTCTAAAGTCTAGTCTAAAGTCTAGTCTATAGTCTAGTCTATAGTCTAGACTATATAGTTTAGCCTATAGTCTAGACTATATATAGTCTATAGTATAGTCTAGTCTATAGTCTAGTCTATAGTCTAGTCTATAGTCTAGTCTATAGTCTAGTCTATAGTCTAGTCTATAGTCTAGTCTATAGTCTAGTCTATAGTCTAGTCTATAGTCTAGTCTATAGTCTAGTCTATAGTCTAGTCTATAGTCTAGTCTATAGTCTAGTCTATAGTCTAGTCTATAGTCTAGTCTATAGTCTAGTCTATAGTCTAGTCTATAGTCTAGTCTATAGTCTAGTCTATAGTCTAGTCTACAGTCTAGTCTATAGTCTAGTCTATAGTCTAGTCTATAGTCTAGTCTATAGTCTAGTCTATAGTCTAGTCTATAGTCTAGTCTATAGTCTAGTCTATAGTCTAGTCTATAGTCTAGTCTATAGTCTAGTCTATAGTCTAGTCTATAGTCTAGTCTATAGTCTAGTCTATAGTCTAGTCTATAGTCTAGTCTATAGTCTAGTCTATAGTCTAGTCTATAGTCTAGTCTATAGTCTAGTCTATAGTCTAGTCTATAGTCTAGTCTATAGTCTAGTCTATAGTCTAGTCTATAGTCTAGTCTATAGTCTAGTCTATAGTCTAGTCTATAGTCTAGTCTATAGTCTAGTCTATAGTCTAGTCTATAGTCTAGTCTATAGTCTAGTCTATAGTCTAGTCTATAGTCTAGTCTATAGTCTAGTTTATAGTCTAGTCTATAGTCTAGTCTATAGTCTAGTCTATAGTCTAGTCTATAGTCTAGTCTATAGTCTAGTCTATAGTCTAGTCTATAGTCTAGTCTATAGTCTAGTCTATAGTCTAGTCTATAGTCTAGTCTATAGTCTAGTCTATAGTCTAGTCTATAGTCTAGTCTATAGTCTAGTCTATAGTCTAGTCTATAGTCTAGTCTATAGTCTAGTCTATAGTCTAGTCTATAGTCTAGTCTATAGTCTAGTCTACACAGAGGGAAAAAAAATATACACGCTTGGTACCAAATTGGCACCAAAGAGTTTGTAATTTTTCAATAACAACCGTTGTCAAAGTATATACATACGTACGACAACACTATGTCGCAACGTTGTCAACATTGCAACAATTCGTTGTCGAAATCTAAATTTTTTACACATACGTTGTCTAAATGTTAACAAACGTGGTAAGCTCACTATTGGCAACGGATTGTTTGCAATAGTGAACGTCTAGTCTATAGTCTAGTCTATAGTCTAGTCTATAGTCTAGGTCTATAGTCTAGTCTATAGTCTAGTCTATAGTCTAGTCTATAGTCTAGTCTATAGTCTAGTCTATAGTCTAGTCTATAGTCTAGTCTATAGTCTAGTCTATAGTCTAGTCTATAGTCTAGTCTATAGTCTAGTCTAAAGTCTAGTCTATAGTCTAGTCTATAGGTCTAGTCTATAGTCTAGTCTATAGTCTGGTCTATAGTCTAGTCTATTATCTAGTCTATAGTCTAGTCTATAGTCTAGTCTTTAGTCGAGTCTGTGTTTCTAGTCTATAGTCTAGTTTATAGTCTATAATCTAGTCTATAGTCTATTCTATAGTCAAATCCATAGTCTAGTCTACAGTCCAGTATATAGTCTATAGTCTAGTCTATAGTCTGGTCTATAGTCTAGTCTGTAGTCTAGTCTATTGTATAGTCTATAGTCTAGTCTATAGTCTAGCTTATAGTCTAGTCTATAGTCTAGTTTATAGTCTAGTCTATAGTCTAGTCTATAGTCTACACAGTTTGTCTTCAATTAATTTAATTGTTGTTCCTTTTTTCAGGGTGCTGTCATGATGGTTTACGGTTTGGATCATGATACATCGAATACAGATAAACTTTTCAATTTGGTTTGCTTATACGGAAATGTTGCAAGGGTAAGTTTGTTTTATTTTAATAATTTTAACTTCAAATAAAATTTTAAACAATAGAAGATGATTAATTTCCACAATTTGTTTGCAAGTCTGCAAAACATTTGAATATTTTTTCCCAGAAAAAAGTACAAAAGCTTAAAAGATAATTAGTTTTTAAATAAAACTAAAATATTTTCTTTCTCATAGAGAAGAAAAGTAAGAACCCAGGGAAAATGGGAAAGGCAGGGTTTATTGTTTGAAATCAGACAAAAAAGGTTTGGGGCTGAACAAAAAAAAAAAGGGTTTACAATAAGATTTCTTGAATCCAGTTTTATATGAAAAGATTTATTAGCATTTTCCTTAAGCCTTAAGGATTGACTGCATAGTTTTTCTTTACAATTATTCTATACAATTATTATTAAATTCATTTAATTTAAACTAAATTTTCTTTGAAATATCTTACTAATCCACAAAAACTTCTAAGTTTTCTCTGTGACCCTGAAAATCTCTAACATATCCTTAAATAATACACACTTTTTCACTCACAACAGTTTCTGTTTATTTTATTCTTATTTTTGTTGTTGTTTATATAAAATCTTTTGCTGTTGTAAGTCTTTCTTCGTTTTTTTGCACGTGTCAAGGTGAGATTAAAAACTAAATAGAATATAATTACAAATACATATGTACATACACCTTTTAATATACCTCCCCCTACATTCCCTTCTCTTGACTTTATAATCACTCTAACAGGGATGGAAATGTCATGACTTCTTCGAAGTTTGCAAAGTATATTTACAACTAACTAAAGTCTACTTTATAGTCGAATGTAAACTATAGAAGAGACTATTGACTAGACTATAGACTAGACTATAGACTAGACTATAGACTAGACTATAGACTAGACTATAGACTAGACTATAGACTAGACTATAGACTAGACTATAGACTAGACTATAGACTAGACTATAGACTAGACTATAGACTAGACTATAGACTAGACTATAGACTAGACTATAGACTAGACTATAGACTAGACTATAGACTAGACTATAGACTAGACTATAGACTAGACTATAGACTAGACTATAGACTAGACTATAAACTAGACTATAGACTAGACTATAGATTAGACTATAGACTAGACTATTGACCAGACTATAGACTAGACTAAAGACTAGACTATAGACTAGATTATAGACCAGCCTATAGACTAGATTATAGACCAGACTATAGACTAGACTAGACTATAGACTAGACTAGACTATAGACTAGACTAGACTATAGACTAGAATAAACTATAGACCAGACTATAGACTAGACTATAGACTAGGCTATAAACTAAACTATAGACTAGACTATAGACTAGACTATGGACTAGACTATAGACTAGACTATAGACTAGACTATAGACTAGACTATAGACTAGACTATAGACTAGACTATAGACTAGACTATAGACTAGACTATATACTAAACTATAAACTAGACTCTATACTAGACTAGACTCTATACTAGACTAGACTATAGACTAGACTAGACTATAGACTAGACTATAGACTAGACTATAGACTAGACTATAGACAAGGCTATAGACTAGACTATAGACTAGACTATAGACTAGAACTATAGACTAGACTATAGACTAGACTATAGACTAGACTATGGACTAGACTATAGACTAGACTATAGACTAGACTAATAGACTAGACTATAGACTAGACTATAGACTAGACTAGACTATAGACTAGACTATAGACTATAGACTATAGACTATAGATTAGACTATAGACTAGACTATAGACTAGACTATAGACTAGACTATAGACTAGACTATTGACTAGACTATAGACTAGACTATAGACTAGACTATAGACTAGACTATAGACTAGACTATAGACTAGACTATAGACTAGACTATAGACTAGACTATAGACTAGACTATAGACTAAGGACTAGACTATAGCTAGACTATAGACTAGACTATAGACTAGACTATAGACTAGACTATAGACTAGACTATAGACTAGACTATAGACTAACTATAGACTAAACTATAGACCTAGACTATAGACTAGACTAGACTAGACTATAGACTAGACCTATAGACTAGACTATAGACTAGACTATAGACTAGACTATAGACTAGACGATAGACTAGACTATAGACTAGACTATAGACTAGACTATAGACTAGACTATAGACTAGACTAGACTATAGACTAGACTATAGACTAGACTATATACTAGACTATAGACTAGACTATAGACTAGACTATAGACTAGATTATTAGACTAGACTATAGACTAGACTATAGACTAGACTAAACTATAGACCAGACTATAGACTAGACTATAGACTAGGCTATATACTAACTATAGACTAGACTATAGACTAGACTATAGACTAGACTATAGACTAGACTATAGACTAGACTATAGACTAGACTATAGACTAGACTATAGACTAGACTATAGACTAGACTATAGACTAGACTATAGACTAGACTATAGACTAGACTATAGACTAGACTATAGACTAGACTATAGACTAGACTATAGACTAGACTATAGACTAGACTATAGACTAGACTATAGACTAGACTATAGACTAGACTATAGACTAGACTATAGACTAGACTATAGACTAGACTATAGACTAGACTATAGACTAGACTATAGACTAGACTACAGACTAGACTACAGACTAGACTACAGACTAGACTATAGACTAGACTATAGACTTGACTATAAACTAGACTATAGAAAAGACTATAGACTAGACTATAGACCAGACTATAGACTAGAATATAGACCAGACTATAGAGTAGACTATAGACTAGACTGTAGACTAGACTATAGACTAGACTAAAATTAGACTATAGACTAGACTATAGACTAGACTATAGAGTAGACTGTTGACTAGACTATAGACTAGACTGTAGACTAGACTATAGACTAGACTATAGACTAGACTATAGACTAGACTATAGACTAGACTATAGACTAGACTATAGACTAGACTATAGACTAGACTATAGACTAGACTATAGACTAGACTATAGACTAGACTATAGACTAGACTATAGACTAGACTATAGACTAGACTATAGACTAGACTAGACTATAGACTAGACTATAGACTAGACTATAGACTAGACTATAGACTAGACTATAGACTAGACTATAGACTAGACTATAGACTAGACTATAGACTAGACTATAGACTAGACTATAGACTAGACTATAGACTAGACTATAGACTAGACTATAGACTAGACTATAGACTAGACTATAGACTAGACTATAGACTAGACTATAACTAGACTATAGACTAGACTATAGACTAGACTATAGACTAGACTATAGACTGACTATAGACTAGACTATAGACTAGACTATAGACTAGACTATAGACTGACTATAGACTAACTATAGACTAGACTATAGACTAGAGCTATAGACTAGACTATAGACTAGACTAGAGAACCTAGACTAATAGACTTAGACTATAGACTAGACTATAGACTAGACTATAGACTAGACTATAGACTAGACTATAGACTAGACTAGACTATAGACTATACTATACTATAGACTAGACTATAGAGCCTAGTTATAGTCTAGCCATAGTCTAGTCTATAGTTCCAACAACTTGCCATGACTGATTTCTACCACTTGAGTAAGAAAATCTGTATTTACATTAAACATGTTTTATTTGATTATTTTTCATCTTCTTTTGTATGCTTAGTGGTTGTTCTACTCATTATATTGAATGTTATAGTTGTTGTCTTAGAACAACAACAATTTCTAATAACAAAAAAAAAACAACAACAAATATAATTATTATGATACTTTTGTTGCAAATTCAAAATAATAATACAAAACAAAACCAGCAAAAGAGAGAAAAAACTAAAGTCATATCAAAACAATAAACAAAATCTCAAAGGTACAATTGACAATAAACAACAACAACAATATAAAAATAATAAATAATAACAAAAACTAACCAAAAGCCAAAGCAAAACAATAAAAAAACAATTTAACATGAAAAACAATGTTTTGGAGAGTTTTTTTTTATGGAAAATAATATGAAATGGAATTGTGTTAAGTGGTAAAATGAAAATGAGACCTCAACCGAAATGAGGGAACAGGGATATTAAGTAGAGTTCTATTGTTTTTATTTGTGCTCTGGCGAGGGTCATAAATATGAAAAAAATTATAATAAATTTACAAGGTTAGATAGAACGTTTATGATAAAAAGAAAAACTCTATTGAAAAAGTTTTAGATTTGTTTTACTGGGGAGAACAGTTTTCTTTAGAAAGAAGGTTTTCAAGGACTTCTTACGAGGACAGTTTTCTTAAGGAAAGTGTTTTCTAAGGACAGTTTATCTTATAAAAGTGTTTTGGACAGAAAAGTTTTCTTAAGGGAAGTGTTTTACATGGATAGTTTTCTTTAAAGAAAGTGGTTGCGAGGGGAGAATTTTTAAATGTATTGCGAAGGCAGTTTTCTTAAAAAAAGATATGGCAGGACAGTTTTTTCCAAAAGTTTTCTGCAAGGGCAGTTTACTTATAAAAGTTTTTTACAGGGACAGTTTTCCTTGAAAAAGGTGCTTTGCGAGGTCTTCTTTAGAAGAGAGTGTTGTGAGAGCAGTTTTCTATAGAAGTGTTTTCTTAGGGCAGTTTTTTAATAAAACATTTTAAAGCAAGGAAAGTTTTCTTTAGAAGAGAGTTTTGCGAGAGCAGTTTTCTTTAGAAAGATATGCGAGGAAAATTTTCTTTAGAAAACTGTTTTTTGAGGCCAGTTTTCTTTAGAAAAGTATTTTGCAAGGACAGTTTTTCTTCAAAGTGTTTTTGGTGGGCAGGTCAGTTATCTTTAGAAGAGAGTATTGCGAGAGCAGTTTTCTAAAAAAACAATGTTTCACGAGGACAGTTTTCTTTAAAAAAGCGTTTGGCGAGGATAGTTTTCTTTAGAAAGTTGTTATGCGAGGGCAGTTTTCTTCAGAAAACTGTTTCATGAGGATAGTTTTCTTCAGAAAAGTGTTTTTGGTGGGCAGTTTTCTATGAATAATTGCCTTCGATGTCGGTTTTCTATATAAGAGGCTCTAGGAAAG